AGAGTCCATGAAGTATATATGGATGGTTTCGAGAGGCGCTGATAAAATTCCTGTAGTGTGTGGGAAGTCCGTCCAGGTCGCTAGATTCAGCCAAGCAAGTCGAGCACGAGGAGGAGCATGAATGTATGTTTGCGATAACTGGCGATTCAACGAATAAAAGCAAAGAACTCAATATTCGTTCATGCTGTGTCGTTTCAACTCACTGTTCGTCTGAAAGCAATGTAAACAATACATGCCCCTAGATGAGCACATTACATATCTATCTATCTATCTATCTATCTATCTATCTATCTATCTATCTATCTATCTATCTATCTATCTATCTATCTATCTATCTATCTATCTATCTATCTATCTATCTATCTATCTATCTATCTATCTATCTATCTATCTATCTATCTATCTATCTATCTATCTATCTATCTATCTATCTATCTATCTATCTATCTATCTATCTATCTATCTATCTATCTATCTATCTATCTATCTATCTATCTATCTATCTATCTATCTATCTATCTATCTATCTATCTATCTATCTATCTATCTATCTATCTATCTATCTATCTATCTATCTATCTATCTATCTATCTATCTATCTATCTATCTATCTATCTATCTATCTATCTATCTATCTATCTATCTATCTATCTATCTATCTATCTATCTATCTATCTATCTATCTATCTATCTATCCTATCTATCCTATCTATCCTATCTATCCTATCCTATCCTATCTATCTATCTATCCTATCTATCTATCCTATCTATCCTATCTATCTATCTATCTATCTATCTATCTATCTATCTATCTATCTATCTATCTATCTATCTATCTATCTATCTATCTATCTATCTATCTATCTATCTATCTATCTATCTATCTATCTATCTATCTATCTATCTATCTATCTATCTATCTATCTATCTATCTATCTATCTATCTATCTATCTATCTATCTAATCTATCTATCTATCTATCTATCTATATATCTATCTATCTATCTATCTATCTATCTATCTATCTATCTATCTATCTATCTATCTATCTATCTATCTATCTATCTATCTATCTATCTATCTATCTATCTATCTATCTATCTATATATCTATCTATCTATCTATCTATCTATCTATCTATCTATCTATCTATCTATCTATCTATCTATCTATCTATCTATCTATCTATCTATCTAACTCTATCTATCTATCTATCTATCTATCTATCTATCTATCTATCTATCTATCTATCTATCTATCTATCTATCTATCTATCTATCTATCTATCTATCTATCTATCTATCTATCTATCTATCTATCTATCTATCTATCTATCTATCTATCTATCTATCTATCTATCTATCTATCTATCTATCTATCTATCTATCTATCTATCTATCTATCTATCTATGTATGCGCATCTCTCGCTGTGTCATCATCACCATCATTATCAAGTACCTTGTCGACTGGAGTGGGCGTTCATACCTCTCCCTACCTTACAAACTCCAACAGGTTTCATCAGCTGGTGTGCCGATATCTTTTAATGCCATAACGAACGGTTGTCAATCATCTTCACGCACTGTCCTCTTTTTCTCTTTCCACAAATCTTTCCAGTCGTCACATGTTTCAGATTTTTTTTTCTCACAACAGAAAAAAAAAACATTATTACTGTCCCTTTTTGATATTTTGATAAGTTGTCTTTTTGGACATCGTTGGGTGGGGGGGGGGAGGGGGGGGGGCTGCAGGCCAACTGTTTCCGCCACGTTGATTTCGAAAATGGTATCGAAAGCCAGCCGTTTAGTAAGTAATAACGAACTACTGCACGCAAAATTACAGAATGAAAACAACAGCCATAATGTTGGCGCTGGTTCTGCAACGACCTGTGAAGAATACGCAAAACTTGTCGAGCCCACCCCTCTTTCATGTTACTTATTTTTTTAAATTGGCCTAAAAAAACTGCCTTTTTAAATACTTATGTTATGTTGTCCTGTGGGGTCTTAATCTATTTCGGATCATTGTGGTGGCTTAGTGTTATTGTGCAAGGAATTGTTAGCATTCGTTTGTAAAACCACGTCTCCAGTGCGTAAGTGAGTTGTTTCCCTTATTTTCTAATTGCAATGACTCGTATAGTAAAGCAGGCCTCACATAGTGTGCACAAGTTGTTTCTCTTACCTCTAACAAATAACAGGGCTTAACTGCATTAGACGGTCAAAAAAATAAGTATATATTGAAAATGTATGTAAAATTATCAATACTATGGGACAGACAGACAGACAGACAGACAGACAGACAGACAGACAGACAGACAGACAGACAGACAGACAGACAGACAGAGGGACGGACAGACAGACAGACAGACAGACGGACGGACGGACAGACAGACAGACAGACGGACGGACGGACGGACGGACGGACGGACGGACGGACGGACAGACAGACAGACAGACAGACAGACAGACAGACAGACAGACAGACAGACAGACAGACAGACAGACAGACAGACAGACAGACAGACAGACAGACAGACAGACAGACAGACAGACAGGACAGATTGACAGAGAGAGATTACAAAGGACCTTAGGCTTTCCAGCGTGCCGAAGTGAGAACTATTTTCTGCAAAGAACCAGCTGCATTATGATGAGGAACATGTGCTGTCATGTGAACATCCTTCCCCGTGTTATCTACAAGCGCTAAAACGTACGTGCCGCTTATCTTCTCCAGGCTGTTACCTCAAAATATCAATTTGGATAGCAGACCCAGGACCTGACGGTTGGACATCGTCTGCTGATTTGCAAACCAGTTGGGTAAACCCAGAATTCTCGTTGAACCTCCAAGGAAGTTATAACTATGACATCGTAACAGGCCACGCTAGTAGCCTGCCATTCTATGCGGGTAAGCAGTATATCACAGTATATGAAACCCTGATAGAAAAGATCGAAAAGACAGCGGCGCTGACATAGACAAAACGGAGGTGGGGGTACCGAACCACTAGGATCTTTCGCCTATATTCTTCTGTGAACCCTATCAGTGCTAATCATTGCACGTGAACCTGTTAGAAAAAAACCAACGATGATATACTTCTGTTTTTCAGCTGACCTTTTCAGTTGTCCTTTTCCAGAAGAGTGCCAGCAAGAAGACCCAGCACCAAGGGGGAGAAATACACGCGCTTATGCTCTGGAGATAGTTCCACAGTTGTCCTCCTTGAGAAACTTGTATCAGCGGAATCCACACTAGACTAGAAACACAAAAAAAAAAAAAAAGGTTATAAACATATAAATCCTGGGTTCGAATCTCCGCATCTAGTGCCCGATCCTTACCCGAGCAGGACTACATGTTACATAGGGCTGGTATAGCCGTTATGGGTGTACTAACTATAGTTTCTTTGGAGGCTGACATTTTGTAATCTTAGGATGCCAAACCTTTAGGCAGTGTCTCGGAGGGGGAAAACGGCAAGCACGCAATTCCGCAAGGTAATAGAAGGTTTCAATAATCAACCTTGGAAGCCACTGTGGTGTAGCGGCTAGATGCTCGCCTGCGAATCCTAAGTTTGTTAGTTTGAATCCGAACGGTGATGGACTTGTTTTCTTCTTTAAAAAAAACCTTGGCTTCTAAGTCGACCCAGCCTTAAATGGGTAACAGATGAGAGTCATGGGAAGTAAAGGCGACCGGTGTGATGTTGATCTAATCAACCACTAGTGTCGACTGACCTATAAAATATAGGTCTAGCCCTAAATGCCGTGTAAACAATGTGCATCTTAAAAGCAACATCTACCCATGGAGTCAACAAGGGAATTAGGTGTATCCACATACTTAGAGCTCACTTACACTATCCAACCGATATGATGGTGACTTGTAACAACATTTACTACATGTCAACATTCACAGAGTAACATGTACATCTGTTTCGCAACACCATTAACTTATGGTAACACACACATTGCAACTCCATTTTTGGCACTTTACTGGCAACACCCACATGGCAACATTTACTTGTGCAATCAACATCAACACTGGCAAATTCACTTGGCAAAGACTTGGCGAACATTCACTTGACAACAAATCGACATGGCAATTGACAAACATTAACATCAACATCATGGCAACATTTACTTGGCAACATTCACTTGGCAACATCCACATGACAACATTCACTTGGCAAAATCGACATGGCAACATTTACTTGGCAACATTTACTTGGCAACATCCACTTGGCAACATCAACATGGCAACATCCACTTGGCAACATCCACATGGCAATATTTACTTGGCAACATTCACATGGCAACATTCACTTGGCAACATTCACTTAGCAACATTTACTTGGCAACATCCACATGGCAACATTCACTTGGCAACATTTACTTGGCAACATTTACTTGTCAACATTAACTTGGCAACACCCACATGGCAACATTCACTTGGCAACATTTACTTGGCAACATTTACTTGTCAACATTAACTTGGCAACACCCAAATGGCAATGTTCACATGGCAACATTTACATGGTGGCACACAATTTGCGAAATCTCCATGGCAACATCTACATGGCAAGATCCGCACAATATGGCAACATCTACACAAAAATCGACAACCACAGTTCGAAATTTACCCTAGATGGGCATTGGGTCCACCCGAAAGCGACCATTCTCATCGGCAAAGTAGCATAGACACCCAGAACAACATCTACACACAGCATGCTTCAGTTATGCCATGGGGCATTGGGTCTGTGTTTCCCCGCCGGATTGTATCCGAAGGCTTGATCAACTCTGAGACTTCAAGAATCGTATCTCGACATCGTCCACTCAAAAGCGACCATCTTCATTAGCAAGGTAGCATAGACACCCAGAACAACATCTACACACAGCATGCTAGAGCTATGCCCTGGGGCAGAGGTTCTCTGTTTTTCCTCAGGATTGTATCCGAAGGCTTGATCAACTCTGAGACTCCAAGAATCATATCTTGGATTGCAGACCAATTCAGCTTCCAAGGAAGTTCTGCTTAGAATACTCATAAGGGCTACACCATGCAAGTGTAACCTGCAGTGTTGTACGGGTAAGGATGTATCCAGGGTACGGGTAAGGATGTATCCAGGACTTTTTTCTGCTCCTTGAAAAAAGTTACGGTTCTCCCATGAGGTGTCTGGATAAAGTGTCAGTACTCACCATAAATTGTCTGATCTAGTAGCACTGAAAAAGTGATGTAAACAAAAAGGTGCTGGCACTGCGCACTGTTGCTTGCTGCAAGAAAAAAAAAAGCTTTGGAATTATCAATTTCTACAGCATTTACCTGAGACCAATGAGAACTAAAACACAGATCCGACCGACCAGCATGAGCTCGTGCTGTGGCGCCCTCTGTCGGAAGCGTCTCCAGATGTCCATGGTAAACATGGAGCTGGCGGAGTTGAAGATGGAAGTCAATGTGCTCATTAGAGCGGCCAGGAGAGCTGCTAACATCAATCCTCTGAGACCTGTAAGTTGAGGACACACCGGTTAATATCGTCACACTCTCGGAGGAAGTCAGTGTGCTCACTAGAGCAGGCAGGAATTGAAATTAGAAGCCAGTGTGCCCATTAGAGCAGGCAGGAATTGAAAATAGAAGCCAGTGTGCCCATTAGAGCAGGCAGGAGTTGAAGATAGAAGCCATTGTGCCAATTAGAGCAGGCAGGAGTTGAGGATAGAAGCCATTGTGCCAATTAGAGCAGGCAGGAGTTGAAGATAGAAGCCATTGTGCCAATTAGAGCAGGCAGGAGTTGAAGATAGAAGCCATTGTGCCAATTAGAGCAGGCAGGAGTTGAAGATAGAAGCCATTGTGCCAATTAGAGCAGGCAGGAGTTGAAGATAGAAGCCATTGTGCCAATTAGAGCAGGCAGGAATTGAAAATAGAAGCCAGTGTGCCCATTAGAGCAGGCAGGAGTTGTAGATAGAAGCCATTTGTGCCAATTAGAGCAAGCAGGAGTTGAAGATAGAAGCCATTGTGCCAATTAGAGCAGGCAGGAGTTGAAGATAGAAGCCATTGTGCCAATAAGAGCAGGCAGGAGTTGAAGATAGAAGCCATCGTGCTCAATAGAGCAGACAGGAGTTGAAGATAGAAGCCAGTGTGCTCATTAGAGCAGACAGGAATTGAAAATAGAAGCCAGTGTGCTCATTGGAGCAGGCAGGAATTAAAAATAGAAGCCAGTGTGCCCATTAGAGCAGGCAGGAGTTGAAGATAGAAGCCATTGTGCCAATTAGAGCAGGCAGGAGTTGAAGATATAAGCCATTGTGCTCATTAGAGCAGGCAGGAGTTGAAGATAGAAGCCATCGTGCTCATTAGAGCAGGCAGGAGTTGAAGATAGAAGCCATTGTGCTCACTAGAGCAGGCAGGAGTTGAGGATAGAAGCCAGTGTGCCCATTAGAGCAGGCAGGAGTTAAAGATAGAAGCCATTGTGCCAATTAGAGCAGGCAGGAGTTGAAGATAGAAGCCATTGTGCTCACTAGAGCAGGCAGGAGTTGAGGATAGAAGCCAGTGTGCCAATTAGAGCAGGCAGGAGTTGAAGATAGAAGCCATTGTGCCAATTAGAGCAGGCAGGAGTTGAAGATAGAAGCCATCGTGCCAATTAGAGCAGGCAGGAGTTGAAGATAGAAGCCATCGTGCTCATTAGAGCAGACAGGAGTTGAAGATAGAAGCCAGTGTGCTCATTAGAGCAGACAGGAATTGAAAATAGAAGCCAGTGTGCCCATTAGAGCAGGCAGGAGTTGAAGATAGAAGCCATTGTGCCAATTAGAGCAGGCAGGAGTTGAAGATAGAAGCCAGTGTGCTCACTAGAGCAGGCAGGAGTTGAGGATAGAAGCCATCGTGCTCATTAGAGCAGACAGGAGTTGAGGATAGAAGCCAGTGTGCCAATTAGAGCAGGCAGAAATTGAAGATAGAAGCCATTGTGCCAATTAGAGCAGGCAGAAATTGAAGATAGAAGCCATTGTGCCAATTAGAGCAGGCAGGAGTTGAAGATAGAAGCCATTTTGCTCATTAGAGAAGCCAGGAGTTGAAGATAAAAGTCAGTGTGCTCATTAGAGCAGGCAGGAGTTGAAGATAGAAGCCATTTTGCTCATGTGAGACGCCGGGAGTTGAAGATAGAAGCCAGTGTGCCCATTAGAGAAGCCACGAATTGAAGATAGAAGCCATTGTGCTCATTAGAGCAGGCAGGAGTTGAAGATAGAAGCCATCGTGCTCATCAGAGCAGACAGGAGTTGAAGATAGAAGCCATTGTGCTCACTAGAGCAGGCAGGAGTTGAGGATAGAAGCCAGTGTGCCCATTAGAGCAGGCAGGAGTTGAAGATAGAAGCCATTGTGCCAATTAGAGCAGGCAGGAGTTGAAAATAGAAGCCATTGTGCTCACTAGAGCAGGCAGGAGTTGAGGGTAGAAGCCAGTGTGCCCATTAGAGCAGGCAGGAGTTGAGGATAGAAGCCAGTGTGCCAATTAGAGCAGGCAGGAGTTGAGGATAGAAGCCAGTGTGCCAATTAGAGCAGGCAGGAGTTGAAGATAGAAGCCGTTGTGCCAATTAGAGCAGGCAGAAATTGAAGATAGAAGCCAATGTGCCAATTAGAGCAGGCAGGAGTTGAAGATAGAAGCCATTGTGCTCATTAGAGAAGCCAGGAGTTGAAGATAGAAGCCATTGTGCTCATTAGAGAAGCCAGGAGTTGAAGATAAAAGTCAGTGTGCTCATTGGAGCAGGCAGGAGTTGAAGATAGAAGCCATTTTGCTCATGTGAGACGCCGGGAGTTGAAGATAGAAGCCAGTGTGCCCATTAGAGAAGCCACGAATTGAAGATAGAAGCCATTGTGCTCATTAGAGCAGGCAGAAATTGAAGATAGAAGCCAGTGTGCTCATTAGAGCAGGCAGAAATTGAAGATAGAAGCCAGTGTGCTCATTAGAGCAGGCAGAAATTGAAGATAGAAGCCAGTGTGCTTATTAGAGCTACCATGACAACTACAAACATCAATATCGGAAGTCTGAAATGTTGGGAAACATGGGTTTAGTCGGTTTTATCTGATGGCTAGGTGTCAGGTAACGGCTATTCTGGGCCGCCAACACTTTCCATTGCTAAATAAAAATGCATTATTTTAATATATATTTTTACTGTTTGCTATTTGTTACAAATCCACCACCCTGTTTACACCTCGCCGAGCACGTAACACTTGTTCAGAGTATTAACAGAGCGAAAAGAACACTCACTGCAAGCTTACGCCACTCATAAAGTAACTGTAACCATTACCTACAAGCGCTTAAACATGCGAATTGATCACTCCTCGCCACTGGTCCTAAAAATCAGAACCTATATAAGCAATGTCAACGAAACAAGAGAATCGCCATCATCAATCAACAGAACTTTGCTCTCTTCACGGCACGCTGCTTGAAAATTTTCTCTTTCTCTTGCCAATTCTCCAGCCCTATGTGCTTTCATAGCCAATGCCTTTTCAATGTCTTGGATCCACATTCCGGGAGGCCAGCATCCGCCTCGTTTTCCGAAAATTGCACCCACCGCCACTGTAGGCTACCATGACGTTTTTCATGGCCAAAATAACACAAGTTTTCTGGAGAGGATGCTGTTTATGAGCCAGTTCTTCTCCAAGGAGCGGGTGGTACTCAAGTCTCAGGCTTGGAACTGCATGGCCATTGCAGGAAAATGAGTAAGGGAGGGGGTGTGGGGGTGGAGTGCTTTATGATTCTCATTCATTCATAATCATGTTGTGCCATTATGTCACATAAGGCTCGTTGTCTATTCCTCCATTCAGTTCTATAATAACTCTACCCAGGATTACAATCCATTCGTTCCCCCCCCCCTTCTTTCCTTCATCAACCCCTCCCCCCCCCCCTCTCCACCCACCCATCCCCTCCCCATTTTATCTAAAGAACCCAGCGTTATAACACGCACGCGCGCACGCACGCACACACACACACAGGGTTGTAAAGGGTTGTAAGAGGTTTAAGCGGCAATCTTTAACCGTGTTAGAGGTTTTTTTGAAAAGTGTGTGTTTACATATTTTATATAAGGTCAAATAAACTGTCCTATTTATTCCCAATTCAACATATTATTATTTACTAAAACTAGGATATAACGCCCCCATGACTTGGACACAATGTTTTTTATATTGGCGCGCTCAATTCTTGAACACTGTCAGCGTACAAACGAAGTGCTGTTAGATATCGCAGCTGTGAAGACGAGCAGTCGCCAACAACAGCCGGCAAAGCACTTGAAAATAATGAGTGTGCACCGGGCGAGAAGGGGATAACTATATTCCAAGCAAAAAAATGTACATTACATTGTTTATGACCTCACTTTCTAAATATTTAATTATTTGCGTGTCTTTTCCAGGACGTTGCAGAATCAACAACCTCAGCATTTTGTTTGTTTGTTTTGTTTTGTTTCTGTTTGTGATTTTTCTAAGTAATTTTTTACATTCGGTAGTTTGCCACTGCACATCAACGGTCGGCATTAATAACACTGTTGAAACCAAAACAAGGCCGTCTGTTGCCAAATAGCCTTCAGTTGGGGTCGAACCAGACAGTTCGGTATTACGAAGCCCCTAAGTCACATACGCCGACAAAACATAAATATGTTGATAAGAAACATAGAAGAGCGACTGGCAGGACGGATAACAACGCTGTGACCTCAATTAGGAGACTCACGTTCGAATTCTCGGTGACTTTTTTTTTTCTGAGGGCAAAAATGAAATCCTTACGAGAACAGTCCGTGGTGGCTGCATTCACATGGCAACATTCATATGGCAACATTCATATGGCAACATTCATATGGGAACATTCATATGGCAACATTCACATGGCAACATTCACGTGACAACATTCACATGGTAACATTCACATGGCAACATTCACATGGCAACATTTGCATGGCAATATTTGCATGGCAACATTCATATGGAAACATTCACATGGCAACTTTCACATGGCAACATTTGCATTGCAATATTTGTATGGCAACATTCCCATGGCAACATTCACATGGCAACATTCACGTGGCAACATTCACGTGGCAACATTCACATGGCAACATTCACATGGCAACATTTGCATGGCAATATTTGCATGGCAACATTCGAATGGCAACATTCACATGGCAACATTCACATGGCAACATTCACATGGCAACATTCAAATGGCAACATGCTGCCCTAAATCCTCAGGCTTTAGCTCACTTGCTCCTCCCCCCTCTCCCCCCCCCCCCTCCCTCTCCCCCCCCCCACCAACTTTCTTACGCTGATTTAAAAAGTGGTAAACGCTGACTCAAAAGTTAGTTGCTTTATGTTTATGTTCATGTTTATTCGACGGATCAACATCATAGCACACGGGTGTAACCCATAAGTATTCCGTTCTACTTCTAACTCAAGCCTGTCTGAAGAATTTCAGCGCAGTGCAAGAACTCCGTTGCTCCGGCGAGGATCCTGAAATACTTTGAGTCGATTTTGAATTCCAAATTTTGCCCGGGCAGCGCTGTTAGGCTACTCTTTTCGATTCCAACTGCCAGGGGATTTTTTTACGTGCGCAAGCTTACACACGAGCGTCCGATCTTACTACCCAGAGACCAAGGAAAATTACTAGAAGTCCACGTGAAAAAAGCCCAGCCTTCACCGGGGCTTGAACCCGGGATCTCCAGCACTCGAGGCGGACACCATACATCGAGACTACTCAGTCCCTAGTTAGTTGCTTTACAGGACGTTACAGAACTCCGCTTAGCATTTCTTGGCTGTTGCGGTTTTTCTGGGCAAACGTTACGTTCAGTAGTTTGCCATTGCTCGCTAAACGTTTAGCTCTCGATGCCACTGTTGAAACCAAGGTAAGACAGCCTTCTGACAAGTAGTCTGCAGCTGGAATTGAACCCGGCACCTCGGCATTAATGAAGCGCGTTCGCAGACAGTACAGACATTTCCAAAGGAATATACTGATTTACTGGTTTAAGAATCGACAGCACAGCACACCGGGCATACCCATAGGTGCTCCATCTCCCGTAGCAAATGTCTGAAGGTGTAGATGCTAACTGTTCCCGTAGGACACTGATTATTCACTCGTTGCTCTTTTCCCTTCATATGTCCCTCCTTGTGGGATCCGCTGCTAATTCCTTGTTCACACATTCTTGCACATGTTATTTCATCTAATCTCGTGTCTTCTATCAAGAGCAGTGTTGCCACTTTGGTTATTTTATATCCAGATTTAGATGTTTTTCCTTGCATTTAGATGGCGTTTTTGACGTTTAGATGGTAGATGTTTTATAGCTGTTTTTTTACCTGGAGTAAATTTATCAAATCTAACCAAAGAAACAGAGTGAAATTTGACCTCTTAAATGCTATCTTGACAATAAATTTCGGCCTGATAAGAGTAGGAAAATGCTGTTCCGCTTATCAGCTCCCTGTTTGTGTTTAAAAGAAATTGGAACAGATTGTTTGTTTGTTTTAGTATCCCGAAGCCATGAGTTGTTAACCCTTAAGCTCGGTATTATGGATATCGCAACCTTTCAGCCTTAATTCCATTGTAAATACCGTAAATCTGGGAGAAAATGTGGCTTTCCTGCCTACCCCCGGGATTAAACATGGACTACAAGGAGTTCGTCATCCGGTCTCCGCGCAATCCGGTTTAGCCAATTACGCTAGAGAGCCGGGCATTGGAACAGATAAAACATACGTCATTTTGGATCTGAAGCTTCAACTTCATCATCCAAGCTAAGTTTATCCTGTGGATCTTGTAAGGCAGACTTCGGTAAAGATGAGGACATGATTCCATAGGGTAATTCATATCAATTGCTATGTAATTTGTGACATTTTCTGTTTGGATTTTTTTCTAGATGTTTTCTACGCAAATTTAGATGTTTTCAGATATATTTTTACTCCGTTTTGGATATTTTTTTGTCAAAGAAAAGTGGTAACTCTGGTCAAGAGTCGTTCATATATGGTCTTCGGAATATCTCCCTTGTCCGGTACGAGTGTTCCCGTAGCTGTCTTATCTTATTCCAGAAACTGAGAGTTGCGTACACATCCGTTTTAGAGATCTGACTAAAATGTATGCACACTGTTGCTTCCTTGCCTCTGAGACAGATGCACTCCGACTTCGAAGGTAGCTCACAATTAGATGACTCTCACGACACGTTTTTGGTAGGCAGTGGTTGTATTCTTGTTTTTCCCACAAAGAGACCCGGAACTCACATGTGGAGCTTATGTCTACTTTTCAATACTAATTGCTTAATAATGTTGCCTACCCTAAAATCTTAATTATCTTGTTTACTAATTGCCTACCCTTGAATCTTTATCAATGTTAATATCATGAATGAGTCAAGTAGAATGTCACTGGTCGCACCGGATTTAAAGAAAAAAGTGAAATATCACAGTATGTGTACATAGTTTTATTTTAATACACGCAAGCAAACGTTAATTAAAAAAAAGAATCAATATAATTATGTCCCCCCCCCCCAACCCCTTTCCTTACTGTGTGCCGTGGTCTAGCGGTTAGACTCTCGGCTGGTCGTGGGTTCGGTTCCTGACGGGGGCCGTACTTTTTTCTAAAGTGACATTGTCTACCTTGAGTGGGTACCAGAAGCAGTCTTGGGAAGTAAAGGCGGTCGGCGGGATGCTGACCACATCACCCACCAAGTGCCGTTTGTTCTATGAAATAAAGGTCTAGCCCTATATTCCCTCTGGCCTTAAAGACGTGGAAAAGGGTTATTTTTTACTTTACCTTACTGTGTAAAAAAGTTAATGAAGCTACCTACCTGCTGGCATTTTCCTGAGTACCAACAGAGGATAGGCTATGTTAGAACATCCAGCCTTATTTCCACATATTTCTTCACAGGATTTAGGATCAGAACAGGCAATCTCATCTAGATGATGAAAGAAAGGTGTATATATGCTTAGTCTGACAAAGGGGGGTATTGCTGGTAGAAGCAGAGAGTAGTGGTAGCATTAGTAATAGAAGTAGTAGCAGCAGCAGTAGTAGTAGCAATGGCTGTAGTTGCAGCTGCATGAGTGGTAAGAGTAGTAATAGTAGTAGTAGCAGAAGTTGCAATAGTAACAGTTGTTGTTGTTGTTGATTTTGTTGTTATTGTAGCAGCTGCATTATTAGCAGTAGTACCATCATTAACATTAGTAGCAGCATCAGCACTAGTAGAAGCATCAGCAGTTGTAGCAGCATCAACAGCAGAGCAGCAGTAGTAGTGGCTGCAGTAGTAGAAGCATCAGCAGTAGTAGCTGCATGAGCAGCAGTGGTAGTTGTAGTATTATTTGCTGAAGCAGCATCAGCAGTAGTAGTGCGGTAGTAGCAGCATCTGCAATAGTAGCTGCAGTAATATTAGCAGTAGCAAATGCAGTAGTAGTAGCAACAGGAGGAGCAGTTGTTGTAGTAACAGTAGTAGTAGTAGTAGTAGCAGCAGCAGCAGTAGTAGTAGTAGCAGCAGCAGCAGTGGAAGTGGTAGTGGAAGTGAGGGTGATTGTAGTAGTAGTGGTGGTAATGGCGGAAGAAAACGTGATTGCAGCAGTTGTAGTAGCAGCAGCAGCAGCAGCAGTGGCTGTAGTGGTGTATAGTAGTTGGTATAGTGATTGTGGTAGTGGTGTTGGTAGTAGTGACTGTAGTAGTAGCTGTTGTGGTGATGGTGGTGACTGTAGTAGTAATAGAAGTCGTAGTTGCACTAGTGGTGGTGTTGAATGTAGTAGCTGTAGTAGTAGTAGTGGTGGTGGTGATGACGGTAGTAGTAGCTGTTGTGGTGATGGTGGTGACTGTAGTAGTAGCTGTTGTGGTGATGGTGGTGACTGTAGTAGTAGCTGTTGTGGTGATGGTGGTGACTGTAGTAGTAGCTGTTGTGGTGATGGTGGTGACTGTAGTAGTAGCTGTTGTGGTGGTGGTTACACTTTGGTAGTAGTAGCTTATCTTGTGGGGTAGTAGTAGTAGCTGTTGTGGTGATGGTGGTGACTGTAGTAGTAATAGAAGTCGTAGTGGCAGTGGTGGTGGTGACTATAGTAATACTAGCGGTAGTGTTGAATGTAGTAGCAGTAGTAGTAGTGGTGGTGGTGATGACGGTAATAGTAGCTGTTGTGGTAGTGGTGGTGGGGATTGTAGTAGTAGTCATAGCATTGGCGGTGGTGGTAATAGTAGTAGTAGTGTGCATGGTCGTAACAGCGGTGGTGGTAGTAGTATTACACTTTTCTTCTTCTTCTTCTTCTTCTTCTTCTTCTTCTTCTTCTTCTTCTTCTTCTTCTTCTTCTTCT